GGTCTCGAACCCGCGGGCTCAGGCAATCCACTCACCTCGGCCTCCCAAAGTGCTGGGATAACAGGCTGAGCCACCGAGCCCGGCCCCTAATTTCTTTATTTATTGTAGAGACAAGGTCTTGCCATGTTGCCCAGGCTGGTCTTAAACCCGTGGGCTCAGGTAGTTCTCTTGCCTCTGCCTCCCAAAGTGCTGGAACTACAGTCATGAGCCACTGCACCCAGCTAATTTATTTATCGTAGGCTTAAACCTGTGGGCTCAGGCAGTCCTCTCGCCTCTGCCTCCCCAAGTGCTGCAATTACAGGCGTGAGCCACCGCGCCCGGCCATATAGCCGCTGTGTCTTAAGTGCTAGCCCTGTGTCAGACACATATATATCCCTGTGTCCGCAGTGGCCACCCGGCTTCCCCCTCCTCCCCAAAAAGCCTGTGATTTAGGCGTGATTTAACAGATGAGGAGACTGAACTTCAGAGAAGCTGAGTGGGTGCCCAGGGTCACACAGCCGCTTGGTGGGGCAGCCAGAATCAGAGCCCATGGTTTCCCACTTCCCACTTCCCACCGACTGGGGAGGGTGCCTCCGCCGAATCCCGGCTCTTCCTCCCCAGCTGGCTCCAGAGCACACGCTCATGTCCTTCCGGAAGGCTCTAGAGCAGAAGCTATACGGGCTCCAGGTGGACATCACCATCAGGTAGGTGTGGGGGAGGGAAACGACTCGTCTGTCCCCTCCCGCATGGCGTCTGCATCCCAGTCTCCACTCTCCAAGCCTCTCAGATGGGAGGGCGGAGGCTTGGATTCTCCACGGCAGGGGCGGGCCTCGTGTGTGAACATGAATTCTGTGCCAGACTCTGGGATGTAAAAGAACAAATGTTCTTGGTGCAGGCATGGGGTGAGGGGAGGGAGACCTGGAGGCCTGCCACAGATCTTACGGCTGGGCATGGCAGAGCTCAAACACTGATGGGTGAGTTAAGCAAGCCACAGAGGGATGCAATCACCGGGACGCCAGTCTTATTTCAAAAGACCACACAACAATGATGTTCACGCTGTCTACATGCAGATATATAAGTAGGTATCAGTACACATGGCAGGAAGAATCCGCACTGATCTCATAATGGAGGTTATCTCCGAGAAGGAAAGAAGGGCCTGGCTGCCACATAGAGTTGCCCAGGTTGTGTACTGAACAAGGGCACCATATATGTGACTGTTCCCCGTGGACACATCCTAGACTTGTGTACTTACCACAACTCTCTGGCAGACAGCGAGTGCCTTTTACAGTTATACACCAAGGCCCCATATGAGCTACTGGGGGTGCTGATGGGGAGGCAAGGATGGCGGAGGAGGGTTGCAGTTGGTCGGAGAGCCTATGTGCGTGTGTGCTGTTCTCATTATGGTATTGGGGGATTTGATTCCGAGTAGGTTCCCCGTTTTGCAGGCTGTGGACCTTGAGCGAGGCTCTTCCCTCTCTTAGCCTCAGTTTCCCCATTATAAAGTGAAGTAGCACCTGTCTTCCAACGTTGCTAACAGGCCCGGCCTTTCCTAGCCCTCCCTCTTTGTCAATCCCCTCCCCCGTCTGACCGCCGTAGAGAGGGCACTGGCCCTTTGGGGTGGCCCACCAGCCCGCTGTCTTCCCTGTGCAGATGGGAGCCCGAGGCCCAAAGAGGGGCAAGAGCCAGCCGGGATCCCACGCTGCACGGGGAGGTCTGGGGACGTGGGGTCGGTGGGCAAGCGGGAGACCCCGGGCGTGCCAAGCTCAGCGCCCCGCCCCCCCGCAGCCTGGACGGCGTGCCCTTCCTCATGCATGATGTCACCCTGCGGCGCACCACCAACGTGGAGGAGGAGTTCCCGGAGCTGGCCCGCAGGCCCGCCGCCATGCTCAACTGGACTCTGCTGCAGAGGCTCAACGCCGGCCAGTGGTTCCTGAAGGTCTGGCAGCCCCCTGAGTCCCGCCTTGGGCCCCCCGGGAGTGAGAGGGGCAGGGTTGGCCGTCAGCTCCCCGGACCTCCGCCCCCAGAGCTTCAGCCACCCACAGCCAGGCTGCGTAGCGTCCCCCTCTGGCTCCCGCCACTGCCACCCAGATCTCATGGTTGTCACCGCCTGTTCCGGGTCCGTCTCCCGCTCTAGAAAAAGTTAATGGTGATAACAGTTAATAACGAGAACTGTTGCTGGGCGTGGTGGCTCACGCCTGTAATCCCAACACTGTGAGAGGTGGAGGCAGGAGGATTGAGCCCAGGGATTTAAGACCAGCCTGGTCAACAGAGTGAGACCTCGTCTCTGCAAAAAATAAAAAATTTGCCAGGCATGGTGGTACATGCCTGTAAAACTCTGAAGGCTGAGGCTGTCGGATTGCCTGAGCCCAGGAGGTTGAGGCTTCAATAAGCCATGATTGTCACTGCACTCCAGCCTGGGTGACAGAGTGAGACCCCCCCCAACTTGAAAAATAATAGTAAGAGCATGGAAAGCTCTAGAGAGAGCTTGGTTCTCTGGTCTGAAATGCTGTTAAAGGAGACATGTGCAGGGCTCTGAGAGACGTACCAAGCACGCCATCCCCTCACTGCACAGGGTATGGGCGAGAAAGGCCAGGCTGGGGACTCCTGCAGCCTCCTGGGGCCACAGCCAGCCATCTGCCTGACACACACACCAGCAGGCACTGACAGCCCGGGGATCTCCACACTCGGCTGCCAGGAAGGCACGTAAGGGTCCCAGAGGACTGGTGGCACAGCCATGTGTGTCCCTGTCCCTGCCAGACGGACCCCTTCTGGACAGCCAGCTCCCTGTCCCCGTCCGACCACAGAGAGGCCCAGAACCAGTCCATCTGCAGCCTGGCGGAGCTCCTGGAGCTGGCCAAGGGCAACGCCACGCTGCTGCTCAACCTGCGTGACCCGCCCCGGGAGCACCCTTACCGCAGCAGCTTCCTCAACGTCACTCTGGAGGCCGTGCTGCGCTCCGGCTTCCCCCAGCACCAGGTGAGGCTCTGTGGCCCGGCGAGAGCCCGGCTCCAACACAGACATGTCCTGTCCCCCTCCACACCTCAGCTTATAAGGTGGGGGTCTTGTGCCCCTTGCCTCCCTGACGAGGCAGTCCGTGGGGACAAGAGGGAAACAAGTCCTTTAAGATTAGAAAGCGGCCAGGCACGGTGGCTCACACCTGTAATCTCAGCACTTTGGGAGGCCGAAGCAGGAGGATTGCTGGAGTCCAGGAGCTCAAGACCAGCCTGGGCAACACAGCGAGACCTCATCTCTACAAAAAATCAAAAAAAGTAGCCAGGTGCATTAGTACACGCCAGTAGTCCCAGCTACTCTAAGGAGGCTGAGGCAGAAGAATCGTCTGAGCCCAGTATGTCGAGGCTGTCATGAGCTGCAGTCATTCCACCATACTGCAGTCTGGGCAACAGAGCAAGACCCTCACTTTAAAAAATAGTAAAACACAACTGGGCGCAGTAATCCCAGCACTTTGGGAGGCTGAGGTGAAGGGATTGCCTGAGCCCACGGGTTCAAGAGTAGCCTGGGCAACTTGGTGAGACCTCATCTCTACAATAAATTTTTTAAAACTAGCCAGGCGTGGTGGCACATGCCTGTAGTTCCAACTACTTGGAAAGCTGAGGCGGAAGGATCACCTGAGCCCAGCAGGTTGAGGTTGCGGTGGCTATGAGTGTGCCACTGCACTCCAGCCTGGGTGACAGAGTGAGACTCCAACTCAAATAAATACATAAATAAATAAAATAGGCCAGGCTCAGTGACTCAGCCTGTAATCCCAGCTGGGAGGCTGAGGCGAGTGGACTGCCTGATCCCGTGGGTTCGTGACCAGCTTGGGCAACTTGGCAAGAACTCTTCTCTACAATAAACCAAAAATTAACCAGGCACGGTAGTGCACACCTGTAGTCCCAGCTACTTGGAAGGCAGAGGCGGAAGGATTGCCGGAGCCCGGCGGGTCGATGCTGGGGTGGCCGTGAGTGTGCCACTGCACTTCAGCCTGGGCGACGGAGTGAGTCTCCAACTCAAAAAATCAAAACAAAAAAAATATACGTATGCATGTCTAAGGGACAGGAGTGGGTCCAGATTCTTAAGTTACTTCAATGACATATCTCCCACTTATTGTGGTACAACAATTTAGGACCAGAGGAATCCGACACCGATTTTGGACAGCACACTAGATGCTGGTGGCTGGCTGCGTGCAGGGTAATGGCCGTTTGGGTTGCCCATCTTGTCATGACAGTGGTCCAGAAGGGAAGCTTCCTGGGCTGCTGCCAGTATGCTTCACAGCCTTGGCTGGGACCCGGCCATCCCCTGCCAAGGCTGTGTCTAAGCTCTCCCCGCGTGCCAGGCCCTGTCGGACCCTCACAGGCGCTCTCGTGGGGCAGATGCCCTTGCTCCATTTGTGGAAGAGAAGTCCAGGCTGCCTGTCTCCCACGCACAGGTCCTGTGGCTGCCCAGCCGGCAGAGGCCCCTGGTGCGGAAGGTGGCCCCCGGCTTCCAGCAGATGTCAGGCTCCAAGGAGGCAGTGGCCAGCCTGCGGAGGGGCCACATCCAGCGGCTGAACCTGCGCTATACTCAGGTGTCCCGTCAGGAGCTCAGGTGCCCACCCCAGACTCCCCTGAGGAGGGCAGAGCTGTCTCTCCAGTCCTGTCACTTTCACAAGTAGCTGGGCAGAGGGCTGGGCACACAGGGCTTTGGGCATACATGGCTCAATGGTGAGAGAGGTTGGGCGTGTTGGGCCGACTTGGGCTGTACCCGAGCTTGGCTCTCCAGAGTGGATGCTCCTTCCTACAGGGATAGGATAGGTGGACGGTCGGGGGCGAGATGAGAATGTGGAGGGCACGTGGCCTGGGAGTAGCCAGAGTCCTCATGCTGGCCCGCCTCTGTCCCCTGCCCCCCAGGGACTATGCGTCCTGGAATCTGAGTGTGAATCTCTACACTGTCAACGCGCCATGGCTCTACTCCCTGCTGTGGTGCGCAGGGGTCCCGTCTGTCACCTCCGACAACTCCCATACCCTGTCCCAGGTGCCTTCCCCGCTCTGGATCATGGTGAGTTTGGGGCAGAGGGCACCCGGTGGGGAGCAGTACCTAAAGCTGTCCCTGGCCCATCGCACCCACTTGGCAAGCTCTGTGCATGGGGCTGTCCCTGGTGATGTCTTAGGGGATGGGGGAGTCCAGGTGCGGGTACAGGCTTGAGGCATGGAGAGGATTTCGTGGCCTCTGGGATCTGCTTGAAGGTGCTGGGAGGACTCTGAGCCTGCCCACAGAGAGAAAAACATCATTAAGGACCCCAGTGAAGTAAACAGCTGCTTGGGCTTTTTAGTTTGTGGGGTTATTATTGCATTTTGATTTAAAGTCACTGGGAAAAGAGGGTAAGGACAGGACAAGGAGAGGAAGCATTCACATATGCTCAGAGAACAGTGAATAAAACCATATTTCATGGCCAGGCATGGTGGCTCATGCCTGTAATCTCAGTGCTTCAGGAGGCCAATGCAGGCTGAGGCCAGGAATTTGAGATTGGCCTGGGCAACAGAGAGAGACCTCATTTCTACAAAAAAATGTTTAAAAAAACAAACATAACTCGGTCGGTTGAGCACCTGAGGATAGGCTGAATTCCAGTCCCTGCCTACCCAGTCACTGCCTGCTGAATTCTAGTCCCTGCCTGCTTCCCTGCTGTGCAGTGAGGTCAGGACTCCACTGGCACCTCCGTGAGGACACAGAAGGCAGATGGAGGGTCTCCTTCTGACTGAGAGGGTGTGGTGCCAATGTACCAGACCCAAACTGCGGGTGGTTACATGGGAAAGGAGGTTGAAGGGAAGATGGCCCGGGAAAAGGGAGCGAGACTGACAGGATAGGGCCAAGCGGCACCTGGAGTAGGGGAGGGGTCAGGGACCTGGCAGTGGGCACCAGACACTGCACCTCCTCAAGACTCCTTCAGGATCTTGAAGAAACCCCTCTCCAGCTCCCACCTGCCTGTTGCCTTTGCTCAGACAAACACGAAGTAACTTGCTAGCCGTGAAGCAATGACACTGGAATACCTAGGCCACAGAGTTTGCCAATGGCGAGAAGTGCCCCGCCCCTGCCTGAGACAGTAGAGGCTGGAGGCTGTACTGGGGACCTGCCCTCCCTGGTCCCTCTCTGTGGCCCCTGGATGGGAAGCCCCTACACACTCCATGGCCTTTGGTCCTTGCAGAGTGACACATGTGCTCTTCACGGCTGCCACACACCTAATCATAGGTCCACACGGCCACCTGCCAGTCCTGTGACACCCTCACCTTCACGTCTGTCTCTCAGTGTCCAGCCCTGCTTTGAGACCCCTTGAGCATACAAACCCTCTACCCTGAGCACCACACCACATATCTCTCCTACCCTGAGCGTACACACACACACACACACACACACACACACACACACACACACACACACACACACCCACACACCCGAGTCCTGTGCCCAGAGCCCACCCTTGCAGAATATAATCTGGAACCCCAGAGCCCCCTCAAGTTCCTCCCTTACTCTTTCCCATGGTCACGTGAGTCCTCCTGCCTGTGGACCCTCGGACCCTTGGTCTGGACTGGTCATGACTGGAAGCTGGCCTCGGGCCATCTGTCCACAGCCCCCGGACGAGTACTGTCTCATGTGGGTCACTGCCGACCTGATCTCCTTCACCCTCATCGTCGGCATCTTCGTGTTCCAGAAGTGAGTAGGCTCTGTCCCCTTCTGTGGCCTTCCCTACCCTGCAGCAGGCTCGGCCCCCACCCCCGGCAGGTGAATCCAGTCCTGAGCCCTGGGCCCTCAGCCAGGAGAAGGCCTGACCAGGAGAGAAGGAAGGACTCCCGATGACCCCATCCTCCTGAACCAGAGGCTGGGTGGCTTCCAGAGGGAACACCCAGCGAGAGCCCAGAGCCCAGATTTGTTCTGTGTGAATGCTGGCTCCTCCCCAGGCTGGTCTGCTCCTGGTCAACCAGGGCACGGGCTCCCATCAGCGAGCACAGGACAGCAGGGGTGTGGCTGCAGTGGGAAGGTGTGGTTGGTCCTGGGGAGGGTTTAGGGCCAGCCCGGGGCCCCAGCCCAGCCAGGAAGCGAGGGGTGGGTTTTATTCTTGACTGACGTTCTCTCTCTGTCCCATCCCGCTCTGATCGGCGCATGGCCCCCTCTCTCCCCCTCCCCATCTCTCTGCTGCACTCTGGCATCTCACAGCTATCACTTGATCAGGTAATTCTGGTGTGGTCTTCCTCCTCCTCCTGTTCCTCTTTCTCCCTCCTGCCATTTCCTTCTCCAGTTCTGTCTAAAATCCCGCTGTGCACCAAGCCCTGCGCCTGGGTCATGCCCGCAGACACGGCCTGAAGCCTCCTCCCTGGCAGTCCTCCTTTCTGTCCCTGTGTGTCCCTCTGCTCCCTGCTCCAGCCGCAGTTTCTGTTCCTGACCTGTCCTCTCTCAGCACCGAAGTGTCTCCCTCTGGGGGAGGGGACCCTGCCTGGGCACCCCCATCCCCTGCGTATGCCACCCATGGGGCCTTCACCCCCTGCCCAGAGCAGACCCTACCAAGTTTCTTTCCCTCTCTCCCGGCCTCTCCCGTCGCCACACTGTTTCTCTCTGTCTCTCCCACCTCTTTCTATCTCCTCTTCATATTCCGTCTGCAGCTCCCATCCCCACTCCTCTCCCCCCACTGGGCCTTTGCCTCATTCCTACCCTCACCTCCCACCGGGGCACCTCACAATGGCTGAGCTTTCTGTTCTGGACACGCCTGGCTGCAGAGACCCTGGCCAGACACCTTCCTTCTCGGTCTTCGGTTCTTTTCCCAGATGAGACCTAGAGCTTAGGGATCCAAGTCCCCCTGGGTCAAGTGCCTTGGGCCCTCCTGGGTCAGGCAGCTTCACTGACCAGCTTCTAGGAGGAAAAACTGAGCCTGGTGAAGGAACATCTCTCAGTTATTCCTCCCTCTGTTCTCCCGGTTGACAGACATCCACGCATGGTGGCTGGTGCTGGCTCTGGGCTTGCAGCAGGACCGGGCCTGTCCACACAGAGCCCCCAGTGCATGGGGGTGGTCTCCCCCTGGTGCTTCCAGGGGCTGGCAGACACGCTGGGCCCACTCAGGTGCAGTCAGGCAGCATCACTGATTCCCGGGTATCAGGAGAGGCCTGGTGAAGGAAGGGCGCCTGGGGCACAAGGCAGAGAAGAATGTCATTTCCCTTTCCATCCCTTCACTTAACAAGTTCTTGCTGGACACCTGTGACATGGCGGGCACTGACCTTGGTGCTGGCGCAGCGCTAAGAGATGCAGCCACTGCCCTCAGGGAGTCCTAGGGCAGCCAGCCCTGCCAGGGTGTAGGTGCCATCCCTCCGCCTCCTGCTGTCCCCGCGTCTGCCTGCTCTGTCCATCTGTCCGTCTGCCCGCCCATCTGTCCATTTCTGCTGCGCCAACCCCATCTGGAAGCTCGCAGCTGGTTTCTTGTGGAGTCTGTACTTCCTCCACTGTCCAAGAGGGATTCAGCACCCCTTCCCAGGGGGGAGGGTCAGGTTCTCGTTCCTAAACTGACCACCCACTCCTCTTGGTGGGGACAGGGGTAGGGGTCCAGTGAGTCCTTCTGTCTAAACTCCAAGAAAATAATTATGGAGGCCAGGGGCTTGGGGCTAGTTCAGAGGAATGACAGCAGCAAAAACAGTGGCCCGGGCTGGGTGTGGGAACCGAGTCCTCCCCACTCCATCCTGGTCCCCACAGGCCCTGTGTATGCCCCGCCTTCCAGCCTATTCCTGATTGGTTTCGCCCCCCCACCTCACACCTGCCTCCGCCATCAGAGAGCAGGGCTCTGGCCTGGCCCTCCCCATTAGGGTTGCTGGGACAGAGCAGCAGATGGCCCCACCCCAAGTCACTCTGACCCCCTTGCCTCGGGACCTGTGAAGACCAGCTCTGAGCAAAGCCCCCCCACCACCTGCTTTCCTCCCCTCCCTGCTTTCCCCTCCTCTCGGGCCTTCTGCAAACTTCACTCTGCCTGGTCATGATGGTGGAGCTATGGTTGACACCAGCTGGGATTCCGTGAGCTTGGTGTGTACCCCAGGGCAGATCATCAGCATCACGCCTGCTAAGCTCCTTCTGCCCCCAAATTTGTCCCAGCCAAGGGGAGCCAGGTGCATAGCTGGGAGCACCTGCGACAGAACCAGCCAACCCCAGTACTGGGCCAGGCCTGTTGATCGAGGGTTCTGGAGGTAGGGGGAGGCAGGAGAGCTCTGGCTGAGTCAGTAGACTCGGATTGAAGCCCCAGCTCCACCCTTCTCTGGGCCTTAGTTTCCCCACTTGTACAGTGGGACAGGAATCCTGCGGGTCTCTGACGCCACATCCAGAAAAGCTCTGGAAGTGGGCAGGATCCCTGCTCCAGGGGAGGGGTGCGGAAGGACCTGATGCCCCCGGGCCATCCTGCAGGTGGCGCCTGGGTGGCATCCGGAGCTACAACCCTGAACAGATCATGCTGAGCGCCGCCGTGCGCCGGACCAGCCGGGACGTCAGCATCATGAAGGAGAAGCTCATCTTCTCAGGTGTGCAGCCCTCGACTGGCTGAGACAGGCCCTGGCTCTGCCCTCTGCACCCTAGATGTGCACACAGATGTGTACACACACATTCACATGCAGCATATACGGGGAGAGACATGGGCATGGACATACATAAACCCACCCAAAGTCAGGCGCAGTGGCTCACACTTGCAAACCCAGCACTTTGGGAGGTGGAGGCAAGAGCCCAGCCTGGGCAGCTTGGCAAGACCTCGACTCTACAATAAATCAAAAACTAGCAGGGTGTGCTGGCATGCACCTGTAGTTTCAGCTACTTGGAAGGCTGAGGCAGAAGGATCACCTGAGCCCAGCAGGTGGGGGCTGCAGTAGCCAGCAGCGTGCCACTGCACTCCAGCCTGGGTGACAGAGTGAGACTTTGACTGATAAATTAAGTAGTTAATTAAAAAAAAAAAATGAGCCGGCTTGGTGGCTCAGCCTGTAATCCTGTGCCTTGGGAGGCTGAGGTGAGTGGATTGCCTGAGTCCGCGGGTTCGAGACCCGCCTGGGCAACTTGGTGAGACCTCATCTCTACAGTAGATCAAAAATTTAGCCGGGTGTGGTAGCGCGCCTGTAGTTCCAGCTACTTGGAAGGCTGAGGCGGAAGGATTGCCGGAGCCCATCAGGTCGAGGCTGCGGTGGCCAGGAGCGGCCACTGCACTCCAGTCTGGGCAACAGAGTGAGACTCCAACTCAAAAAACAACAACAGCAACAACAACAACAAAAATGGCTGGGTGCAGTGGCTCAGGCCTCTCATCCCAGAACTTTGGGAGGCCAAGGCAAGAGGATTGCCTAAGCCCATGGGTTCAAGACCAGCCTGGACAACATGGTGAGACCTCATCTCTACAATAAATAAATAAATTAGCTGGGCATGGTGATGCATGCCTGTAGTTCCGACTACTTGGAAGGCTCAGGTAGAAGAATAGCTGAGCCAGCAGGTCAAGGCTGTGGGGCCCATGAGCAGTGAGCCACTGCACTCCATCCTGGACAACAGAGTGAGATTCCAACTTAAAAGAAAAAAACAAAAACTACCAGGCTTACACCAGCACACACAAGAAGGCACAAGTACACACATGGAAACACATCCTGCACAGCAGCTGTCCACTCCAGGTCCTGGGACTCAGGGTCGGTGCTGTAGTTGGTGGGCAGGGGTGAGGGGCAGGGGTGGGGTGGGGAGAGGAGTCTATTTTGAAGGCCCATCTCCCTTTGCCTGATTCTTACACGGATCCCACAGATATTGATCTTGCCCCTGCTCATTGCCCATCCCTGCTGCCATTCCCAGTCTGATGGAAGAGGCAACTATGTAAACAAAGCCATGGAGTTCATACAGATGGGGGTGCTGAGGAGGAGGACGTGGTCAGAGCAGCCTGGGCAGTGAGGAAGGCTCTGAGTGACTGACATGTTGGGATGTGGAGGATGAGTAGGAGGTGCCTGGTAATGGGTTCAAGGTGAGGGCTGGGCCAATGGAAGGAAGGAGGGGCTTCCAGGTGGGGACAGCGTATCCTGCCTGGGCAGAGAATGGAGCATCTTCCACAGAGCTGAGCTGCCCTTAGCAGACCTTTCCTGAGCCTCTGCTCTCTGCCCGGCACTGAGGACACAGCTGCCCAGGCCCTACCCCTGTCCTTGAGGTGCTCTAGCATGGGGCCCAGGCAGCCACCATACAGAATGTGACTAGGGCAGTGGGCAGCAGGAGCTGGGGTGGCCATGGGGCAGCCCCAATCCAGCCCTGGGGTTCAGAAGAGGCTTCCAGGGGGCTGAATAACAGGGATGAGAAGATCTGAGCTAGACTTTAGGAAAAGGGGGTATTGATGGGGAGCAGAGACTCCCAGAGACAGCAGACTGAGGCAGAGCCAGAGGGTTCAGCAGAGACCAAGGGGGCCTTGAATGCCAGGCCCCATGGCAACCTGAGCCCAGTGGTTCCATCAGCCCCTGCCCAGCTGGATTGTTGCAGGTCACCCTTCCTGTCTGTCTGTCAGCTATCCTCACATTCCCTGCCCTCACTCACATTGTCTCCCTCTGGCCCAACAGAGATCAGTGATGGCGTGGAGGTCTCCGATGAGTTCTCTGTATGTTCAGACAACAGTTACGACACATATGCCAATAGCACCATCACCCCTGTGGGCCCCCGAAGAGGTGGCAGCAGCACCAAGACCCTCACAGACCGGAGTGGGCGTTAGCTGAAGACTTGTCTGTCCCAGCCCATACCTGACGTAGAAGCCAGGAGCCCCGAAGAGCTGGCAAGAACGTGTCTGGACTTGGAGTGCTCTGGGAGCTGGCTCCACCGCCTCCTCGTGGGCTTCGGCCCCTTGTCAGCCACAGCCTCTTTGTGGAGAGGGCTTCTTTCTCCCCTGAGGCCCAACTGGGTCAGGACTCTGGCCTCTCAGATGCCCCTGCAGGCCTGGGGCTCCTTCTGGGATGTGTGAGGCCTGGGGCCTGATCCCCCTCCCAAGGCCCTCCCCTACATCCTGACCTGGAAACTTTGATGGGCCACAGGGCCATGCCATGCCCCTTGTGTCAGTAGAGGATGTGGATGGTCACCCGTGCCCTCATGTGTCTGTCCCGTCCATGCCGTGAGGCACCAGACTTTTCTGTTGTTATTTTGTTCAAAGAGTCTGGACCGGGCCTCTCCAAAGCAGTGCTGCTCTTCTGTCGGTCACAAAGTACAAGGAGGTCGGCCCAGGAAAGACAGCTCTGGTGATGGAGACACAACCTCCTCCCCACCCAGCCTTCCACCACTGCTGGCCCTTGACCCTGAGCTGTGTCCCCTGGGAACAGCTGGAGATAGCCAGAAACACAAGCACAGAGCTGCTTGGTCTCATACCCAGGTGTCCCACGCACAGGTCTCTAGGGCAGAAGTGATCCTGTGACCCCAGAGACTCAGACTGATGCAACCTCAGGTTCCCACATTGGTGGCCACAGGGTAGGGGCCACTGGGGAAAAATATTCTGGGCACTGTCAACGGTGGGTGTGTGGCTAAGTAGGCCAGCGGCAGAAGGAGCTCAAGGGCCTTGGCCAAGATGATTAAAGCTGCCATCTCAATGTGTGTCATTTCTCTGTGTTGCTAGCAGGAGAGTGGGGACAGGGCACTCTGGGTTTAGGATTCACTTCTGGCCCTGTGATTTGAGGAATGACCATTCTCATGAACTACTGAGAAAGAGGCAGGGTGGTACAGCCCCTACCCTGTGTCATCAATGGTGCCAGGGGATCCTTAACTGCCCTGGAGGGGACAAGTGACCATCCAAGGCAACACAGCTGAGAATGGGCAAAGAATCCTACCCAGACTCACTCCGTGCATATGCGTGCCTCCTGTAACTAGCCAGAAATGGCATGACAGATGGGGAGGGTGCCAGGTCTGATGGGGGGCTGAGGCGTGCAGCTGGCAGATCCTCACAGCCACGTGGAGGCATTCTGAGCCCCCTGGCCTACTGAGGGAAAAGCCCTCAGCCCAGGATGCCTCTTTTCCTGGTAAGGGAAGATCATGGATATGTCCTGAGGGTAAGGAGGAAGCTGAGCCATCTCCAGCTGCATTCAGTGAACTCGGTGCTTCCTGGGAGAAGGATCATGTCTTCTCTAAACAGGAGTCTTCTGGGTGGATTCTTTGGGTCTGAGAGATTCTAGCACCTTTGAAGAAAGGAAAAGAGCCCCTCCAAATGTTTAAAGCTCCACATTAACTGGGCCCCCATATTAACCTCTCAAGACTGTGCCACTCCTTCCCCCTCTAGTGAACACCTAGCAAGCTCTTCCCATCCTGGGGCAGTGGTCAGCTCCCACCTCTCCCTGGGTGCAAGGGAGTGAGTAGCACCCAGAGCCCACTGGTGCCCCTCCGAGGGGCATGCACTGCCTTGATTCATGCCATGCCACAGTCACTCTATACACACAGTCTACAGAGACAGACTCCGTCACACACATGTCCACACAGACACACATGGTCTGTGGATATACAACATCCCATGACACACACAGTTCACAGAGATCCCTGTCATCCACAGACCCCTAACACAAAAATGAACAATGAGAGAGACGCAGACACACAGGGCTACGCAGAGTCCCAAAGCAACATGTCTGCTGTCAAGCAGGCACACAGACACAGCACCCAGTCACACGGGAGGGAAACCTGGATCTGTAAGCATGGCAGTCACATTCTCAGTCACATCTGCAGTTACAGGGTCACATGGTCACACCCACCTCAGGGCTACCCAATCCCCTCAGTCCCTGCGCTCCCAGACTCTCCTGGGTACTCTGAAACACCTACTCATTCACAACTGCAGTTACACCCCCACACACATACACCTTCAAACCCACCATCATCCAGGGACAACAAGGCCAGTGCCAGACCACCCCCGATCCAGGCACACCAGATCTCAGAGTTGCACGCACACACAGTCAATCTCATGCCCACTCCCGCCCTCTCTCCCCTTCCCTCCCTCCCAGGGCTGGCCCAAGAGTAGAACAAAAGCCCAGTGCCCCCCCTTCCCCGCCCCTCTGGCGTCCAGCCCCTTTGTCCTCCCGCAGCTGAGCCCAAGCAGGAGTCTGGGCAGAGCGGCAGAGACAGTGGAACCTGGGCTGCTGGGGTGCGGGCGGCAGGCACAGGCGGGAGTGATCCCTGCAAGAGCTGCAGCGGAGGACCACGTGGGAGAGGGCGTGGCCAGGTAAGCACCAGGTAAATCCGGACTGGGCTTAGGGCGTGGGGCAGCCCCGGCTGTGTGGTGTCCACAAGTCTGAGTGTGTTTTGTGTGAGTGGACGTGGGTGTCAAGAAGAGACAGCGATGGTGGCATGTTTGAGTCAACTTCTGCAGGCTGGGTCCCTCAGTCTGTGTCAGGATCCTTGGCTTGAGGTGCCTACACTCTCCAGTGAGATGGGAGGATGCCCATTGAGCCCCGTCTGGGAATTTTTACCTTCCGTATTCCAACTAGCTGTCCTTTGGCCCCCAACTGGGAATCCCCAGGGTAGGAACTGGGTCTGATGTTCCTGCGTGTCCACAGCACCCAGTAGAGAGCAGCAAAAGAAATGAAAAAGTCCTGGTGCCCTTCCCAGGAGAGGACTTCCTGCCTCCCCCAGGCAGCCCCTTGTGCTGTAGACACCTTTGCAGAGAGAAGTCCCTCCTTACGCTGATGACACCTGCCCTCTTGGGTCTCAGCTCAGATCGTGGCTGCTTGCTGGGCCAGTGGAAGGGAAACTGGGGGCAGCACACTCTGACGACCTCCCTCCGCTGGTCCCGGGCTGCTCCTCCAGACACGCCCCCACTTTGGCAGGTGTGGCATGCAGATCCTAGAGCCTGGTGGGTTCATGGCCCAGCCTCTCTACTTGGGCAAAAGTAATTAACTTCTTTGTCCTCCAGAGAGCTCAGGATGACCAGGGCATCAGCAGTGAAAGCCAGGCTGACACCAGTCCAGATCTGACTCAGGGTCAGCAGAGCAGCTGGGAGTTGGGGGGAGGGGAGGGGGGAAGGCAAGGGGCAGAGGATGGATCTGAGCCCTTATAGAATAAGTGACACACGAAGAAGCGAGCTCCATGTCCCTGGAGGTGTGTAAGCAGAGGCTGTGTGTTCAGAATGGCCAACTCATAACCAGCAGGGTCCAGCCCTTCGGGGTGTGGAGAGCTTTCACAAACACCCCTTGTTTGATCCTCGCAGAAACCTCTAACAGGCACATTTCCTCCGTGTGCTTATTTCCTTAGGACAAATTTAAGTAAAGAGGGATGGGACATAAAAAAAAAAAATTCTCAGGGTTGCGAGGATCAAATGAAATTGTGTACACAAAAGCCACTAGCACACATGGTGCACTCATTTCCTCTTGTATAAAAACAGTGTAAGGAAACATTGAGTCTGTGCTATGTACCATCCTATTGAATAGTCACAAAAGACACAGCCGCCCTTTTTCATACATCCTACTTAATAATAGTCACAAAGTCACAGCCACCCTGTGAGGTAGATATTATGAGCCCATTGAGACAACTGAGGTTGGGGCGGGCAGGTGAGAGAAGCGACTTGTCCAGACCACATGGTGAGTCAGTGGTAGAGACAGGATTAGAACCCCATTCGTCCCTAGAAAGAACTTTCCACTCCCCACAACGCCTCCTGGAGAACACCAATTAAGAACTCACTAGAGAAGGACCAACCTCCCTCCCAGCCTGGGCTCTAACCTCCTGCCCTCCTTCTCAGTGTGACAAGTCTCCCCTGCAGGGACTCCTTCCCTGACTCCCAACTGGGCTTAGCGTCCCTTCTGTGAGTTCCCCTAAGACTCTGTACTTCCCCATGTGACCCTCTTACCAAGCTGCCAGCTCTGGGGACGCTGGGAACAGAGACTATGGTTGCCTTGCTCACTGCCGGGCACAGAACAAGTTCGTAATAAATACTTGAATACATTCACTCGACCTTGAACAGGTATCAGTCGAGCGCCTACCGTGGTATGACGCTCTGCTGTTTCCGAAGGGACAGGAATTACAGAGTAATCATAGCGTGGCCAATGAGACAGGATGGGCCGAGGAGAAAGTGGTAGAGTTATTACAACCTGCCCCACCCCTGCGCACCCACAGTGGGTCAATGCGGTAGCCGAATCACTTGACCAAGGCTACAACTCCCGTCTAGGGACCCTCCCTACAGACATTCTGTCCAGGTCCCAGTAATCTCCCTGTCCCCCTTCAGCCTCTGGAAGGGTAAAGGCCCCGGCTGTTAACAGCCCGTGGCACTGCTCTATCCCTGTCGGGGTCCCTAAACACTGCCTCCACTTTGGAAATCGTCCCTTTACGAGACGCTTCTCAAATTACCCTATCTGAGAGCGCGCCATCTGTCTCCTGCGGATATCGACAGGAAAAAGCTCAGCGAGTCTGGAGAAAAGGGCAGTGCGTCTGCGTGGGCGAGCCCGAGGGGAGTGGGCCAGATCGCCGTAGCCACGAGGAATCTGGATGGTGTGCGGAGGGAAGGGTAGCTGGATGGATGGACGCGTGCACGTTAGGTCCGTGCCTGCCGGAGTAAGGGAGCGAGCCAAGCGGGGGACGCACGGAGGTCGGCGCCCCAGCCGGCCGCAGCCGGGTGGCCCCCCGACGCTGTCTG